CCCCCCCCCCGTTGCTGAAATATCGCCATTGCCGGAAATAAGGCAAGATATGGCAAGTTCCCCAAAAGAAAAATTGACTGCACAAACTGGTCGCGTTTCTCGCTCATCGATCGAACAAGTCTCTCTTCGGCAAGGGAGAAGATCTCGAAAAGAATTCAGTATTAGATGAAAGGTTGTCAAAGCACGATCGTTAGTACACGCGAACTTCGGTGATATGACGAATCAGTGATAACTGAAACGCGAAAAAGATCGTTGGTGCATCCGTTCAGCTAGATCGATGGCCGAAAATTTATATCGAAACGATAACGATATTTCTCCGTAACCAGATACCGTACCTGCTCGTTTCCATCTGTTTTCGATCGGCTCTATCTCGCAGTTGCGAAACATGCGAGAGATCTCGGTTTTTGATAACATCGGTCCGGTTAGCGGAAGCGATGCGAAAGGAAAATAGCAACCGCCGAGATTCGCCAGCGTACTGGCGCGTGTTTGGAAAGGATATCGATCAAAGGTCGACGCGAAGCCAAATGATTCCCTCTGCTCCAACTGTTCCGATCGAACGACGCTGTACACACTGTCTGTTCCATAGAGGCGTATGAAAATTTCCGTCCTTTTTGTGTCTCGCAACCCGCAAACAAGACACGAATAGAAATCACTGTTTTAACCTCTTAGCTCTGAATGACGATTTAAGCCAGGTTGTATGTAGCGTCGGCCTTATATAAGATCTCTTTGTAAATTCCCAATCACGTGATTGATAGGAAAGTAGGTTATTTTCGGCCAAGATGTACCATTGGGCAAAGATAATATTCACAATTACTTTATGGACTTAACGGTACTGCCCAGGGATGTGCCTCTCGCACTACGTTTATACATTTATTGACCCTGGCTGTAGAACCAATGTAAGAGGAACGCGTCCCCTAGAGACGGGTATACTCGTCACGAAAAAATGACGAGTGTACTCGTCATGCTACAAAAGTGATTACAATCTGTTATTAATTAAATTTTTCGTGGAAGATAAAACATATTTGTAAATTTTAGACATTTTGGAATTTACTTCGAGACTACATTTGACTAATTCTTTTTACATCGTTTCTAAATATTTTCTTGCTTAATCATTATGTGTCGTACTTTGAGAAATATCATTCTGAAAGAATAAATTAAATTTCTAGTTTCCTTTTATTTTTTTCAAATATTTGATTCGTTTGTTTAATAAAAACATTATAAACGTTTAAGTTTTGTAAATAATATTAATTAAATTAAACAATAAGATTATTGATTTAAAAAAAAGTATTATTATTTCCTTATAATTTAATTCAATTTTACAGCAGCTGTAAAAACATATTCTGTGTTTGATGGGTATATTCGTCGTTCATCGCGTCGTTCTAGCGACACAATGTAGATACACACTTTTAAAAACAGCTAAGAGGTTTTACTAAAATACGCGTGAAACATGAGAGAAATTAAGAATTGAGAAATTAAGGATCGGTTTTACGTGTCTTTAATATGTAGTACATCTTACGTATCTCATTATCAGTTTGAGGAATCTTCGAATGTTATAAACATACTGCATAAACTGTTATTTCTATGCATTCATAGAAAATTTAAAGATACAAAGACGTGAGAACATAAAATAAGATATATAAAATAGAATATCGAAAATATTTAATACTTGTTGGAATATTTGATACGTGAAACAAAGTTCTGTCTAGATTCTATTTTTTAAAATATTTGTATAAAAATCCACTAGTCTAGTTATAAATAAATGATTTTCCATGTGTCAGAGATTTTGTTCATTTGACGAAGTACGTTCCTGTTCTTCTATACGCAATTTTTAAACATTGTACGAGAATATAATACTTGAAAATTACG